ACACAAAAAAAAACAGCTGCTGTGACACATTCCTGCACACACTCAGTATGACACACATAAGATATATAAAGATAAGGAATGTACCGAAAAGAAACTGCACACTTTCTTTCTACTATAACTTTCATGTTTTTGATTCGATTTCAATTTTTTTTTTGTTCTTTTATAGCAAAACTTAAACTTTCAATTTTATAAACAGAATTTAAAAAAAATTAACTTCTTATTTTAAGCGAATTTTTGCTTAACTCCTCTCATCAGGTTCTGCACACCCTCCTTGGTGACCTTGCCGGCTGCACGCATCCAGTTTTTTTATTTCTTTGTTATTTTGGGAGAGACTACCATTTTTTATTAAATTTCGCTTAACGATGGCCCAATATCTCTCAATGGGACGCAGCTCTGGGCAATTTGGTGGGTTCTCCTCTTTTGAAACAAACTTGATGTTCTCCGCCTCAAGGAGCGCCAATGTTGACCGGGCATAGTGCGCTGACGCTAAGTCTGGCCAAAATATTGTCGACACGTTGTGCTTTCTATAAAACGGTATTAAACGTTTTTTAATGCACTCTTTTTGGTAAACCTCTGCGTTTATTGTGCCATTTGTGAAAAATGGGCTGGTTTTTAGGCCACATGTGCAAATTGCCTGCCATATCAGGACTTTCTCCCCAAATTTGTCCACTTCTATTTTGGTGACCGAGTCGCTAATTGTTTCACCTTTGGCTTTTGTGTAAAATTGGGGGCCTGGTAATGTTTTTGCGTCCAATTTTACATATGTTTCGTCGTCCATTACGACGCATTCCACTGCCTCAGTGAGCAAGCGATCATAAAGCTTGCGTACTCTCGTTTTGCCGACTTCTTGTTGGCGCAAACTTTTTTTTGGCACTTTTTGTTTTTTATAAGTCTTTAGGCCATGCCGTTGTTTTATGCGCTGCACCATACTTACACTCGTTCGCGCTTTTTTGGCCAAATCTCGAACTGACGTCGTGGGATTTTTCTCAATTAAAGCTAGCACCTTCTTATCGACGCTGGCATCCCTTGGACCTTTTTTTCTGCCAGTTTTTGGCAAATCTTTTAGAGAACATGTCTTCCCAAATTTGATAATAATATTCTTAACACTATTAACGCTTACTTTATAGCGTTTGGCTAAGTTTCGGTACGAAACACCGTTTTCTGTGCAGTAATTGTGCACAATTTTTTGACGGACGTGTTCTTCAATACGAGGCATTGCGAAATGTGCAAAACAAATAGTGAAAAGAGAACATACAAACAACGCAGAATTAATAGAGCTTTCTAACGGTGCACCGCATGGCATGATCGAAGGCTCCCACTGAGAGCTTTTCACAATTAAAAGTGTGCAGTTTCTTTTCGGTACATTCCTTATAGGAAACTTTAGTTGTGACTGTATTTGTTTTGATCGCGGATTTAATTGTACTTTGATTTTAGCTCTAAAATAATTCGTTATGACGAAAAGTGAGAGCCCCTTGGCATTTACAGTCAAGCCTCTCTAATATGGCCAACAAAAATTCAAAGTAAAATATAATTAAATTGTACTAAAGGTTGAACAATATAATTAAATTTATAAAAAAAAATAAATAAGTTTTTTCTAAAAAAAACTTTATTTAATTTTTTTTCAAGGAAAATTAAAATTTAACTTTACAAAGAAAAGTAGTGAACTGTAAAGAACCCTGCCCGTACCAGATAACCACAGCTAATCTGACGACTTTAGAGTGTTTCCTTGTTGCACATGCTTAAAGAAGTTCCTTATCTAGAAATTGGCTCCTATCAGCTCTGTTTTTAAACTCATTGCGTTTCTCACACCTCTGATTTCCAGAGCTCCGGCAAGAGTTCCGTCATCGAAAGCGTGGTAGGTCGCTCCTTTCTTCCGCGTGGAACAGGAATCGTCACCCGCCGTCCCCTAGTATTGCAACTGATCTACTGCCCCCTCGATGACCGCGAACACCGCTCTGCCGAAAACGGTGAGTTCATTCATCCACAACCATGAAGACGTAACCCTAATCAAGTCCCCTTTGTAGGTACCTCCAATGCCGAGGAGTGGGGCCGTTTCCTACACTCCAAGAAGTGCTACACGGACTTCGACGAGATTCGTAAAGAAATCGAAAACGAAACGGAACGTGCTGCTGGCAATAACAAAGGAATCTGCCCAGAGCCCATAAACTTAAAGATATTCTCCACAAATGTGGTCAACCTGACGCTCGTGGACCTGCCAGGCATCACCAAGGTGCCGGTGGGGGATCAGCCGGAAGACATCGAGGCGCAGATCAAAGACTTGGTGCTCAAATACATTGAGAACCCCAATTCAATAATCCTGGCCGTAACGGCGGCCAATACGGACATGGCCACCAGCGAGGCGCTGAAGCTGGCCAAAGACGTGGATCCCGACGGTCGCCGCACTCTGGCTGTGGTCACCAAGCTGGACCTGATGGACGCCGGCACTGATGCCATAGACATCCTCTGCGGCCGAGTCATTCCCGTAAAGCTAGGCATCATCGGCGTGATGAACCGCTCGCAAAAAGACATAATGGACCAGAAGCACATCGACGAACAGATGAAGGATGAGGCTGCCTTCTTGCAAAGGAAGTACCCCACTCTAGCCACTCGAAACGGCACACCCTACCTGGCCAAAACTCTCAATCGGCTGTTGATGCACCACATCCGCGACTGCCTGCCGGATTTAAAGGTGAGTGCTGGTGTATTAAATAACTTCAGTTTATTTAAAAGGTGTCTAGTATTAAAATTCAATTAAAGGTCGGCTCTATTTCCTATAACTTTCAAATCAAAAAAAATAAACAAATTTCTTGACAGAATGTCTATCATAGAAATTGTCGAAATAAACAAAAAGTGAAAGCGAATATTATATATTTTTAAATGGATATCAGGATCGTATGTGCTGATCGCTCGCAATGTTTGTTTTCTGTAACGATTTTGAAGTATGTACTAATAGAAGACCCGTTTCTTGCAGACCCGTGTAAACATAATGTCAACGCAGTTCCAATCTCTACTAAACTCCTATGGCGAGGATGTTTCGGACAAGAGTCAGACGCTGTTGCAAATCATCACCAAGTTCGCCAGTGCATACTGCTCCACAATCGAGGGTACGGCTAGGAATATTGAAACCACCGAACTGTGCGGTGGCGCCCGAATCTGTTACATATTCCACGAGACCTTTGGCCGCACCCTAGACTCCATTCATCCCCTGGCGGGCCTAAGCAAAATGGACATACTAACGGCCATCAGGAATGCGACGGGTCCCCGGCCGGCTCTATTTGTTCCGGAAGTATCCTTCGAGCTTCTGGTGAAACGCCAAATCCGACGCCTTGAGGAGCCCTCCTTGCGCTGTGTGGAACTAATCCATGAGGAGATGCAGCGCATTGTGCAGCACTGCGGCAACGAAGTGCAACAGGAGATGATGCGGCAAGTAACCGCCACTTAATTTGTGTGTATGATTACTAATTTCAATTTTCCCACTTGCAGCTTCCCCAAACTGCATGAAAAAATTGTGGATGTCGTCACGCAACTGTTGCGTCGCCGCCTCCCAGCGACCAATGTGATGGTGGAAAACATTGTGGCCATCGAACTGGCCTACATCAACACCAAGCATCCGGACTTTCACAAAGATGCTGCGCTTGTGCCGAGTCTGCTGAAAACCGATAATGATCCCTACTCGCAGATGAATCTAGGAAGCCAACGGAGGGCTAACACACCACGCAACCATATGTCGCCACAGGTCTCAGCCTCGCAGCAACAGCAACTGCAAAACAACCAACACCAGCAACAAAATGATGCACACGAACAGGTGAAATAAGTTGTATATTTATCAAGACCTATTAGGAACCATATTTATGTTTTGGCATTGTTAGAATCACGTTGGAGAGAACTCGACGGCCAGCACCTGGCTGTCCAATATTCTACCACCAGCTCCAATTCGACCAGACAGCATTGAAAACTCGGCCAGCAACACGCCAGTTCACAACAACATTGTCAGTCCTGTGAAGCCAGTCAATCTGCTTCCTGATGTGCCGGCAAACCACAACCCTCGCCGGCTGACTGATAAAGAACAAAAGGACTGCGATGTTATTGGTGAGTCGGTCGGTTAAATGCCAACATTAGTGGATTTCAATATACTCTTCATTTTTAGAGCGCCTAATCAAATCGTATTTCTACATTGTGAGGAAATCCATTCAAGATTCGGTTCCAAAGGCCATAATGCATTTCTTGGTTAACTACGTTAAGGACAACTTGCAGAGCGAACTGGTCACCCATCTGTACAAGTCGGATAGGGCTGAGACGCTCCTCAATGAGTCTGACCATATTGCAGTGCGCCGAAAAGAGGCCGCTGACATGCTAAAGGTGAGGCTGTTGAACTTGAAAAATATTTTTCAATATTTGGTAACCGATGTTAACATTCATTTTTAGGCTCTAACGCGAGCAAACCACATTATCAGCGAAATCCGCGAGACTCACATGTGGTAGACTGGGCAAGATTTTACGGAATCCGTTTCGACTTAATAATCCCCACATATAAGCGACATAAAACTATTTATTGAAGACGCGTTTGAAGCGAAATTCTCCTACTTTGTTAAATGTTCCCCTATCCCAAGCACTGAAATATCATCAAGTTGCATGCAAACCACCACTTTTAGGCCTATCATTACAGAGTATTTGGAGTCGCCTGGCATTTTCTTTCATTGAGCCCTATTGCTTCATAATAGGATGATTTAGATGATTGGTTTTTATTTGGGTTACTCAACGCACTTATTACTCATTGAATAGTCAAATAAAAGCTGAAAGGTTGATTCAAAAAAAAGACGGAAAGGAGACTTTGCTATCTTAAGCAGACGATATTCGTCAGATGAAGACGTTTCTGTAAGTTGTATATGGCACTTTACGACCAGTAAGTAACTGCTATGGCAGGTAAACATTTTCAGGCAGTTTTGGGATAAAGGGCCTTGTCTTAAGAAGGATATTCCAAATTCAAACTACGTCTCTAATCACATTTCGTAATAAAAACTTTAATACTTGAATATTAGTTAAGATCTAATTTGGAAAACTTTGTCATTTGCATTATTCCGACTTTTTGACTGAAAAGGCTATCAGATCATTTCCCGGGAAATCGATAATTGGCAGAAGGAATTGGTCTACACAGCTCCAAGCCGGCATTTAATAAATGCTCCACGACGCAAAGGGACTAAAGACAGATGGTAAGGGAAACAGTGAAAGCCTTTGGTTGAGGTAGCCCCGCCTAGGCACGGTTCGTATCCGACAAGACTCGCACGATGCAGCCAACACCGCCTTTAGCGAAGGCTTTCTCATGCCACTGAAGCAGGTGTCCACTAGATCCCTCCGAGGGAATCTCGAATCCGCGATAAATATACTTCATAAGCACATCAATCAAGTCGTTCTGGTCCACGGTGTCAATGGCCTGGTCGATTTGTGTCGACTTGATAGAAAGCAACACTCGCAGTGTTATATTTAGGGCGTGGTCCTGCAAGAGTTCCATTGATTAGACGACTTGTAACTTTCAATAGTTGCTAAGTACCTTAACATTTTGGTTCTTGCAGCGCAGTGGTGCGTTCTGGAGGGCACTAAGCAGGGCCTCCACAGACTTGCCCTGCGTAAGCAGTGTTGTGATCTCGCTCTCGTCTGGCCCTGCGGCAGCGCTGTCCACACCGTCGTCCTCCCGGAAGTTGTCCTCGTTGTATTGGTCTACGTCGATCTTACGGAAAGCATTGCTAGATGTGTTTTTGGCCATGTTTTTATAAATATTTTCTTTTCTGCCACCCAAAGAAATGAATCACGAAGAAGAGTCCGGCAGTGTGTGGCAGTGTGCCCGCCGATTTCAATAATACTATATGATAAATTAATACATATTTATAATTCATTATTTATTGAGTTTATTAGTTGTGTAGTTAAAATTGAAGAACATAAATACACAGTATTAGCACGTCGTTTATTTTAAAAATTTTATTACAAAAAAAAAATATTTTAGTATTTTAGTGGTACTTTGGTTTAAATGATTAAAAAATGCTTTTCGATATTATTCTGTCTATGTTATCAGCTTACACTCCCATCAAGAATTTTGGATATTAAAAAGTTATAATATTTGGATTGTACTTATTAATTCAAATGAAATTAAACTCATATGAAATGACTTTTCAGTATTAAGTGCGGCAGTGGCATCAAATTTAGCCGCACTTTGGTCACACTACTGATTGACTTTGTTTTTGTTTCAAGTAAGTAAAATAAACCCAAAATTTTTACAAATTAAATGGAATATTAACGCTTTCCATTAGCATGGCAAAGTTTTTCGGCATCAACCGGGTGAGCAAGCTTTTTCAAATCATCCGAGAAGCTGGTGGACTTAAGCAGACGTTTCTTAAGCTATACAGGTGAGCCTCCTTCTTATATAAGATTGCTTGGATTCCCAAAGAAAACATAATTCCCCAGGAACGATGACCTAAAGATCGGAACCCTGGTGGGCATCGACAAGTACGGAAACAAGTACTTTGAGAACCCGTACTACTTCTATGGCCGGAATCGCTGGATCGAGTTTGCCCCCCATGTAAACATGGACTATGACGGTTCCCAGATCCCCGCCGAATGGTACGGCTGGATGCACTACAAGGTGGGTACATTTCTTCTGATGGCTTTATATCCGTTGCAACTTCCCCTAATTTCAGACCGATCTTCCGCCTATCCGAGATGGCTGCCGTCCCACCTACAAGTGGATTGCGGATCACAGCGAGAATCTTTCCGGCACCAAGGGTAATAATATAGACATACATATATAGAAAAGTAAACATTTTTTTATTCCTACATTACAGATGCCTACTATCCCTACTCCACCACGCCCAACAAAGTTGAAGCTTGGGATCCCAAAGCAAAGAAGCAGTAGTGTGTATGGCTTATTAATAATTTTAAATTTCAAATGGCTGCGATTGAAGAATGCACGCAATTGTGTTAATAAATTCAATTTCGTTTACATGAATGTGTAAGGAGGTTAAAGGCAATAAACTTAAAGTCTTTGGAAAGACTTCCTTAGTGTAGCAGCTCAAACTCTTCAAATCAAATCCTAAGAAAATATGAAGAAAGCAAATTTCCAAACTTCTTTTAATATATAATTCATACATGGATAAATATACTCCTAATCGTTCCACCCTGAGTAGCTTTGAAATTTGAATCAAACCCACCCATCAATTAAGATCGGTTTCAGATAAAATTACAATAATTCGGAAAGATTTAAATAGGATCATTGGATATAAACCAAAAATACATTTTAGCATTAAGTTAAAAGTGCTTTATTTCTGTTTCAGTTTCCACAATCAACCAATAACTTTTATTGGAAAATTTATACTACATGCAGCTATTAAAATACAGTAGCTTTCTGTGCTTTTTTTCTAGCACGTCGTCGAGATCCTAAAGAATTTTTTAAATATTTGTTCCTAGATTTTATAGCTGGATTTAATCTAGCTTCTTAGTATTCTTCCTTGATTTTCTGAGCCTTTTTCGCACGGCGCTTATACTTCTTAGCTGTGTCGGCGCACTTGGTTGTAATAGTGGCCCGGATAATGCGTTCCTTGCCACCAGTACGACTTTTGACACTTAGAACGATGTCCTCCACTTTGCCTTGATCCAATTGTAGCTTGGGTGGTCTTTCACGGCCATAAAACGCTGGGGAAGGTTTTCCCGTTAGTGTATGCGTAGCAAGCTCATCACTGCTGAATACAGCGCTTAAGAGACACCTGGTGGCCACCGGTGCATTAGTCCAGAAAACCTCGCCGTATTGGGTTGCAGTGATTTGCGTGCCATTAGGTCCTAGCACGTAGAAGGCGCTTCCGTCTGCCCTTTGCACTCGATGCGGATATTGCCTTTCGTTGTCAGAGGACGCGTCCGACACATTGGTATTATCTTGGAGTTGTGACTCCGCAGAACTGGTGGACATGTGACGCGGCCTTTTTAATGGCGGTGCAGGCACCTCCTCGTAATCGTTATCATACCGCTGATTCAGGGTTCGCAACATAGAGGTGAGGCGGCCAAAAAGCTCTTGGTAATGATCCTGACTCTTCTGGATTTTGGCTACTTGCTGTTTGACGGACTCTTCCACGGGAGGCAAAGGTTTCACTGATGGTTTTACTTCCTGTATGCCTCCTGAAGGTGTGGCTATGGCCACAATTTGAGCGTTAATGATGCGCCTATGGGGTACAGGAGGAGAATTCTGCCGAACTTCCCTTACACGCTGAACTTTTACCGGATTCCTTTGTAACGGTGACTGCATCAATGGATGGATTTGGAGCTGGCCCAAAGGCTTAAAGGTGCGCTGACGCATTACCGTCTGCTGGGCGGCCAGTTCGAAATTCATATAGTTTTCAATGTCCATCTCCTCCTGCTTGACAATGGGACGCGTTAGCAGGCGATAGTAGTAGGGCACAAAGTTGGGCGCGAATTGGCTTAAGTACTGATGGTAGGGATGCGAAAACTGCACGGTGGGATGAATCGCAGTCTGTGAGTGATAAGTGTGCGGCTCCGTTGTTCTGACGACTGACGTGCAAAGTTCAGGCGTCTCGCTATTTGTTGGGTTAGAAGAATCCCTTTCGAAGAAATTAAATCCGGCAGCCATTTTTCAAGTCGAGGATTTAGCAACAGGTAGTAAAAAGGTAGTTTATTTTTGGCAGCTGGACGGTACTTATGCACTTAGTTGCGAAAATGTGGACATTTACATACATACATATAGTATGTATTTATTGTCTTACTTAAAGCCGCTCTGGAAAGATCTTTTATGAGTTCGGATTAACGGTGATTTCCTGCGCCAGATGGCAGCCTACCTGAAGATCCTCAGAGTTGCCAATGACACCAAGTCACTTCAATTTAAATTCGAATCCTAAGAATCTTTTAATTATGGTTATAATTTATGGTTAGTAACTATTATATAGTAACTAAGTAACTACTTTAAATTCGAATCCTAAGAATCTTTTAATTATGGTTACAATTTATGGTAAGTAACTATTATATAGAAACTAAGTAACTAATTTAAATTCGATTCCTAAGAATCTTTTAAATTTGATTATCATTTATGGTAAGTAAGTCATAATCACAGCCATAAATCTGAATTAAAACCAATAAAACAATTGAGTGATTCCTGAAACCAAAAATAATAATAGAAACTTATCATGAATAATATCTAAATCGAATAATCTACAAGTAGTAAAATAACTATCCCTATAAATAATCAAAATACTTATTTAGAAAATGTATTTTCCAAGCACTCCAAAATTTACATAAAAATTGTCATTTGATCATCAAAATACTAGTCATCAGGAAACCATTGCGATAAAATTTGGTATGGGGTGCGTTCTCCGATCAGAGAAAGGTTTTTGAGTTATTTTGAAGAGTTCCAACTTCTTATTTCTTATACATGTTGTCTTCAACAACCTTTTTTTTCTTACAAACCATGTATTAATATAAATTTCGTAGAATATTTTAAGAATTTTGTTTAACACAAACATTAATGAAATTTAATATTTACAATATTTGGGCTATTCATTTAATTACTAAAGTAATTACTTAAGGTTTGTTAATAGATCGGCTATAGTTTGCCGATCCTTATAAAAGTATCATAATATAACCTATTTATTAAAATATAAATCTAAAAAAAAAAGTCGCAGGCTTCTATCTTCAAAAATACCAAAGTTGGTATTTTTACCAAATACCAATCCCGATCGTTCAGTTATATGACAGCTATAAGATATAGTATAGTATGCAAATATAAATTTGGTATGCCGGTGTATTTTGCCAAAAATAGCATTCATAGAAAGTCAGACTTCTCTATCTCTAAAAACACCAAAGTTATGCATTTCTGATCAGTCAGTTATATGGCAGCTATAGGATATAGTCTGCCGATCCCGGCCGTTCCGACTTATGCACTATTATAAGTCGTACTAATACATTAGTATAGTGTACTAACACTGCGTGCAAAAGAAAGAAGGGTGTATGGAAAGTTTCTAGTCAATAGCTTTAAAACTGAGAGACTAGTTTGCATAGACGGACATGATTATATCAACTCAGGAGGTGATCCTTATCAAGAATATATATACTTTATAGGGTCGGAGATGTCTCCTTCACTGCGTTCACACTTTTGACCAAAATTATAATACCCTCTGCAAGGGTAAAGAAATTCTATGGAAATCGTGACTGCGACGATATATTTGCAACACTCGACTACTCTGCAAATTCTCCGACAACCAATAATTCTTGTTCCCGCGCAAAACAAACTTGTAAAGGTGGAAATAGAAAAGGAATAAATGGGAGAAGGAAAAGGCAGCTGGGCTAGTTGGAAATATACCCGTTCTCTAAACAGGACTACATGTCTTTACCTAACAAGCGAGAGAAACGGATTGTAAAAGGAAGACAGAGAGAGTGATGGGAATCTCCCTGAAAATGCTTGCACTTTGGGTGTCAGTGTGTGTGTAAATGGATTCCAGGTAGCAATTGTATTGGATTCCATTGTTTCTTTTGGAGAAGCCGCAGGAGCCGAAGGACTGGCAGGACCTAAAGAAAAACCACCCCTACTGCAGGCCGCTTTTCGCATTCTGCCGCCAAATTTCATGCACAGTTGTCGCTGATCCTCGAAGGATTCAACATGGATAATGTAAGTGCTTAATTTTCAGTAGCTGAAATTCTGAGTTTTTAATCTTTTCTCCAAATTGATTAGAAATTTGAACGTATTGTGAGCGCCACAGAACACGGGGATCTGAAGTGGAGCAGACCGTTGTATTTGAATGCATGGTCACAAACCAGCAGCGAGGATTTTGCCTTGCTCAGGACCATTTCTGCGGTGGATTCAAATATGGAAGCGGAAAACCGAACACTTCGTGAAAAAGTACGCTACTTGGAGGCTAAACTGCAACAGCACACAGACCTATTGTCGCAGATTCATGCAACATCCGCCAGGATGCAGCAGGGATCCTCCTTGTCATCGGACACGTCGCCTCCCACACCACCCGCGGTTTCCAATCCCCAGATCCTGACTCCGCCCAGCTCTGTCATATGTGCACCCATGCTCCCCAATTCCACTACGGTTGACTACAAGATTATATCATCCAGTAATGACGCGGACGCCATAGAGATTCGTTTGGCGGCGGAAAGTTTGAACAGCCTAAGCACCTCGGCAGACTCCGATCGTTTGGAGATATGCCTGGAGGAAAATCAACAGCAACCTAATCAGAGTGGTTCCGTCAAAAGAGAGCATAACTCCACGCCGCTGCAGTTTATTAAGCGCCGAAAGCTACAGGAAATTCAGGTGTCGGAGACCAATGAAGAAAACCCTCGACAAAACATTAAATTGCCAGCGAAACCCCTAGCTAACAGAAAAGTCCATAACGGCAGCCTTACAGATCTCAACAACCCCATGGAAAATGTAATGGTTTCCATAGGCCCGAATAACACTTGTGTGCCCGCTATTGTATTCGAGAACATTAATTGGTCAGTATCCTCACTTGCCACTCGAAAACTCTTGGTATCAATATTCGACCGGGAAACCTTGGCCACTCACTCAATGACCGGGAAACCGTCGCCGGCATTCAAGGATCAGCATAAGCCGCTCAAACAGATGCTGGATCCTCTTAAAATACAGGACATAATCTTTGCAGTGACTCACAAGTGCAATGCCACCGAGAAGGAGGTGAGGAATGCCATCACTACAAAATGTGCCGATGAGAACAAGATGATGAAGATCCAGAACGGGAAGCGACGGAGCAGTGGGGTCAAACAAGACAAAGAGAACATGATCTAGAATGTAGAACTATTATTTATATTAATTGTATTTTTATTAAATTAAACATAATTTTAGCCTAGAAGCTTTTAACCGTGAACCAAAAAATCAGAAAATCCATAAAAAAATTTATCCTAGTACTGAAAACATTATAATAGAATTATGAACAACATCAATCTAATATGAAGGATATTTAGAAGATCTCGGAAGATTCTTTTCCAATCTGAACCAATAAAAAGGTTATTTTAAAATGTTGTTTCTTTTCTGAGTATAAACTACATAATTCATCAGTATTATTATTACAATTTTTTGGGTAAACCAATGTCAGAACGACATTTTAGAATCTTTTAATTGAATAATGTATATTTACATAATATACATGAAGAAAAATATGCTTCATGATATAAAGTTTACATAATTGAAAAAGGAAGTTAGAAATTATTTAAATACAAATATAGGCCTTTAGTATAAATATAAGTTCGTATAATAACTCAAAAAAATGCAATAAATAGTCATAATTGTTTAAGTACTTGCAAAGAAACTTTTTTTTTTCAATAAAAACAATACTTTGAAATAAAAATCAACGATTTGCAAAAAGTATTTTAAGCGATAGTTCTAGATTCTCTAGAAAATATACCAATTAAAGGTGGTTGCCAGACGTTGCACCAAATCAGCTGATGGCGTTGATATTGTTTTTGGCGCTCTTAACAATTTTTTAAGTTTACCTATTGTGGTAAAATTGTGTTAATATGTACTAAATGGATGCCCAACCGGAAAACGTTACCAATTGCTTTTTGCCCCAACTTGTCGATCAAATCTTTGACAACTTTCAAAGGGAAGCGGCGATTTCCACTCCAACCAATGGTACGTACACACATCAAACACTGCAATCTCACATTCTAACAAAATTTAATGTCTTTTTAGAAAACCGTAGTCAATTTTTCTACGATTTAAGTGTGATACTTGGGGAAGAGTTGGTAAGGCGTACACTTCAACTTCTTGACGTTTATAGGTTCACATATTATTACGCCAAGAACCGACAAAATCAGTGCGTGGTAGAGCTCTACAAGGGAACGGAATACTTTCGGCTACTGCCAAAGATCAACTATTGCAAGTGCGATTTCTTTCAAAGCTGTGTGCTGCAGCTGCCCACCGGACTTCTTTACCCGGACATACCAGCTGGACAAGACTTCGAATTAGCAGGTTGGAACGAAGTCAGTAGGCAGTCCTTCACATGCCAGCACGTTCTAGGTTTACGTCTGCAACAGTTACTTAAACTGAGTGACCAAAAAGTTAACGAACAACTTCTTAACCCAGCGGAGTTCCGAGAGGTTTACCTTTCTTTATTTGAGGACTAGAATGTCGGGTATGGAGGATCCCTCGCCCTATGGGGACTATAAGTTCGTCGGTCGTGTGGATCACGTCAAAGTTTTTAATCAGGCCATTAAATCGATTTGTTTTAATGATGTAAGAATGTTAACTGTCCTTTCCTTTTATTTTATTGTTTACTAATATTCAGTAATCATTATTTTTCTTCTCAGTATGGTATGCTTCATGTTTCCGATGAGGGCTTGCGCATCACTGTTGAGCAGGGAAAGTCTATCCAGGCAACTCTTTTTATGCCGCCAACTGCCTTCAAGGAGTTTTACGTACAGGATTTCCAAAGTTTTGGACTAAAAATGAACGTATTGTCGGAGTGCCTCAATCTCTTTGGATCCGCCGACTGCAGTTTGAGGATAATGTACCGCGATCAGGGCAGTCCGTTGAAGATAATATTATACCCGTACGACGATGAGGATGTTAGCACTGAGTGCGCCATCCAAACAATGGATTGCGATGAGCCCATTGACTACGATTTAGAGTTAAAAGGTCCAGATCTAAACGTTATTTTTGTTCGTGGATCTAACCTCTCCAAAGTATTTCACGAATTGGAGAAGTCCGCGGAGGAATTTGAGTTTATTACGTCGCCGGAGAAGCCACACTTTAAGATCACCACCGTTGGCATTATGCAAGCAGTTTTCAGTGTCGAGGTAGCCAAGACCAGTCCTATGATGATGATGTTTAACTGCAAGAACACAGTGGTAGCTCGCTATAAAAGCAATCACATTAGGCTTACCAATAAGGCGATGCAGTCGGCCACTAAAGTGGCTATAAAAACAAATTCAATTGGTCTTTTAGAGCTTCATCTGGTTATGCAGGGCGACGGTCAGGAGGAGATCTTTGTGCAGTTCTACATCATTCCTTTGCTTAATAATGAATAAATTACTTAATTTTGTTAGATATTTATAGCCGTTCTAGGCCATAGCAGCTCGACATGATGCGAGTCTGATGCGAGGAATTCCCTTTTCAGAACAGAAGCTATAACTACAATGCTGCCTCCCCTGCGTTTGTTGGTAAAATCTTTCATATCTGTATATAATATTATACTACACTGTATATTACGTTTCAATAAAAATTTGTCATTATAAAAATGACCCTAAGGTTATCAATTACATTTGAAACTGGAACGTTTTCAACGATGCATTAAAGAAACCAGATTTCACAGGCATCTCTTATTTAAATGTGTAAATATATTATTCCACGGTAAAAAATATCTTTTCTCAATATTAAAAAGAAATACTATATTACGTTTCAATAAAAATTTGTCATTATAAAAATGACCCTAAGGTTATCAATTACATTTGAAACTGGAACGTTTTCAACGATGCATTAAAGAAACCAGATTTCACAGGCATCTCTTATTTAAATGTGTAAATATATTATTCCACGGTAAAAAATGTCTTTTCTCAATATTAAAAAGAAATACTATATTACGTTTCAATAAAAATTTGTCATTATAAAAATGACCCTAAGGTTATCAATTACATTTGAAACTGGAACGTTTTCAACGATGCATTAAAGAAACCAGATTTCACAAGCATCCCTTATTTAAATGTGTAAATATATTATTCCACGGTAAAAAATGTCTTTTCTCAATATTAAAAAGAAATACTTTATAAATATACTCTTATATTCAATTATATACATTGTACATATATACTATTAGATAGTTTAATATACTAATAAAGTGTACTATTAGATGTTTAATTATTTTAGGAAATACTTTTAGGATTTATTAATCAATACATCGAGCAAGTGTTCCTGTAAATAATTCTTTTGGAACTAAAATTATATTAAAATTTGTATTAGTCAAGTAGAGTTTGTTATTTTAATGTTTATTTAAATCTAGACCCAAAATTATTACTTAGATCGGATCGGAGATTCTACAATTTCTTTGTTTAGCTAGTCTGCAAACTAATATTTTTCTCAGAATAAGATTTCCAACGTTTGATGCTAGTTCATTGGCCTGCCATTGTTGACAACTAAATCCAGTAGTGCTGATAATTTTAAAAATATACACGAGTTAGTCGGTCCCTTTACATTTTGACTTGGGCTATCGGTCATTATCTGTCGTATGCTGGCGACAGGGGAATTTCTCATCGGGACGATCAGTACCAGCCGAGAAGCAGAGGAAGAACATTCGTTCTCCTGGATCGCATAGACATGTACATATTACTAGCTCTGTTCCTGGTGATACTGCACCTTCTAGTACTACTTGTTTACCTGTACCTGACCTGGCACCATAAGTACTGGAGCAAACGGGGACTTACCACAGCTCAACCGCTTACAGTGCTCGGTACGTATCCTGGTCTGCTTACCCGAAAAAGCAACTTGGTCATTGATATCCAGAAAATATACGAGTAAGTTCCTTTCACTTTGCAAGTAGTGCGGGTTTTTGGTAACTTTAAGCGACACCCACAGTAAGTACAAGGGAAAACACCGAGCTGTCGGTGTTTTTGTGACGCGCCAACCCCAGATCCTGATCCTCGATCCGGAGCTGGCTCACGATGTGCTGGTTGGAAATTATCGATGCTACAAGGATTCGCTGACCAGCTCGTACATAAGGCATGCTAAACAGGACAAGTACGCCCGCCTCAATCCATTTTGGGCCTCCGGAGAATCCTGGCGAAGACTTCGATCCGAGGCCCAAGCTGGCCTTTCGGGCCATCGCCTTAAACACGGCTATGCCATTTGGAAGCAGGGCGGAAAAATGCTGATCAACTACATGACCCAGCAGGTGGATCACAACAATACCCTTGAGACTAGAGATGTGAGTTTGTACATATGGGTTTTTACTTGCATTTAATTTTTTTATTTAAGTATATTACGTTTATTCTTAAAAAAAAATAAAACAAGAAAGAAAAACAAAGTTACAATTAATCAGTTATATAAAAGCTAGAGGATATAGTTGGCCGATCCCGCCCAGAAAGGAAGGGAGTGTGCAAAGTTCCAAGTCGATAGCTTTAAAACTGAGTGACTAACTGATGTTTAGGGCACTTTGATCCAAAATAAAGTCCTATATAGAAAATAAACCAAACTAAGAAATTGTGTTTGAACATGATTATTGTTTCAAATAGACTCATTATTGTTTAAAAAGTTATTGAAAATGATTTTTTGAGTATTTACCAAAATGACAATTTAACAAGAAAGGACGCTATAAACTAGTTTCCCATCATTACAGCATTATAGGAATCTCCATGATATATGGCATGGCTATATCGACTCGGCAGTTGATGCTGATCAAGAATATATACATATACTTTATGGGGTCCTTCTCTATGTTACATACATTGCCACGACTACAATATCCCCTTGTACTCTAGGAGTACCGAGTATACAAATTCAACAAATTGAAAATTCGTGTCTTTTTTTCGTAGCTCTGCTTTCGTTACACGGCTCATGTGATGGCTGACTTCATTTGGGGCATCGATGCTGGCACGTTTACCCGACCCGAGCAGCCAAACAAGATCCAATATATGGCTACCAGATGGACCAGCTACGCCTTCTATATGATTTCGTGGTTCATGGCCACCATAGTAGCTCCAGGGATTCGCCTGCTGTTGAAATTCCGCTTCTACCCCAAAGACACGGAAGAGTTTTTCTCGAACTTGACCAAGGAGTCAATAGAAATGCGCCTGAAAAGTGGTAAAAACTCCAGCCGAACGGATTATCTCTCCCATTTACTCCAACTTCGTGAGCAGAAACAGGCCACCCACGACGATCTGGTAGGTCACGCTCTGACGGTTCTGCTGGATGGTTACGACACTACCGGAACGGCCCTCCTTCATGCACTGTATTACGTATGTGGTTGCATTGACTTCCGATAGGAATTATTATACTTTTCATATTAAATACACTCTTTAGTTGGCGGAAAGTCCTGCAGCTCAACAAAAGCTGCGCACGGAAATCTTTTCTAGCTTGGATGAAGAAAAGAGCATCGATTTTGACAAACTTTGCGGCCTACCCTATTTAGAGCAAGTCGTCTATGGTCAGTTGTTTACCTAATTTATTATTTAAATTTATTTCAATTAAATTTGGTTGGCAAGAAGAGGAAAGCAAATTCAAAATGTATACAGTCTTTATTAAGAGGCCTAAAATAAAATGTTCTTTACAAAAGAACCTCAAATTGTAGTCCTCTATTCCATGCAAGATCCTGCAACACCCCTCGAGGTGATGTTCGATCTACAATGGTTTATAATGACTCATTTTGGTATTGCTTGTCTTCATATCTGAGCAATATTTCTTATTTGGTATGCTGCATCGTACCCATCACCCATCTGTGAAAATACATCCGATATTTTCAGTATATAGTATGTATGTCAATAGAAACTCGGCTATGCCCGAAGTTAGCTTTCCTTTCTTGTTTTAAGTGACTATATATTTTATATTTATTACTAGAATCCCTTCGACTTAGCAGCTTGATACCACAATACACGAAAGTTTGCACAACTTCCACGGATATTAAGCTAAGCGAGCTCAAAAATATCCGAGTGGAGAAGGGCATTATGATCATGATACCCAATTATCAGTTCCATCATGACGAAAAATATTTTTCCGACCCCGAAGACTTTAGACCAGAACGATTTGATAACGGGGCTTATCAGGAGCTCATGCGAAAAGGAATATTCCTGCCCTTCAGTGATGGCCCCCGTGTTTGTATGGGTAAATAAATAAAGTATACTTTAAAGAGTATAATCGTTAATATGATAACCATATTTTTTCCGTTCTTTTTTTCCTTTAAACCTTTCTAGGGATTCGGCTGGCTCTATTGACATTAAAATCCGCACTGTTTTATATTATATGCAACTTTTATGTGGTGCGGAAAACAGAGCGATTGATCCCCAGGGGAGACTCAGGTTTCGGCGTTGTACTACAAGGGGACATCAATTTGGAATATCGACGAGTTTTCCGATGAGGACGATCAATAATGTTTTATATTATCATTACGATTCCTGATGAAATAAAAATATATACATATGTTTGGAAATAAATAATTCGCTATTTGAAATAAACAACATGAATGATAAGCCAGTCGAATGCATAGATTGCTTGGAAATCACAACCACAATACTTACCTCTCCAACAAACAACACCAGCAAGAAAATATAATCTTATCACATTCGAGAGTTGAACGAAAATTAAAAACTTATAAAACAGATTGTACTGGTGTAAGGTTAAGATTATTAAGAGAGAGGTGTACAATGTATTTTATTCTCTTGGGAGCTTTGATAGGCCTTACCAAACACACTTACTGGCAGTAGCTAACAGAACTCGGTGGGGGACTGATCGATCACTTTTGACCAACAATGTGGACTGCAGTGGCTGTGCTTTTGGCCTTCATTCATGTTTCCTTCGCCGTTGTCTATATATACTTGACCTGGTATCACAAGTATTGGGAAAAGCGGGGGGCTTTGACCGCTGAACCTTTAACTATTTTGGGAACTTATCCTGGAATCCTAGTCAACAAGAGTCGCAGTTTCATTCTAGACGTTCAGGATGTGTACGAGTAAGTGTCCATTTTTTTACTTCGTTTTGTCATCGAAAATTTAGTAAGAATCTGTAAAATATACATTAGTTTCGGTTTATAATCATTCAATAAATAAAAGCTGTTTATAAGTGCTCATATCTTTCCCGAAAGTTGGGTCAGATGATAAAATTTTATTAGGTATTATTTTTATACCCGGTAGTCCTAGATCACAAGGATTTTTTGCAGGCGAAACACCCGGGTATTTTTCGGTCCCTTAAGTAGACCATACCTGCCACCCATAAATATGGTCAATTAAGTAAAAGGGTAACTTTTAAAGATTAGCTGTTCTTCCTTGTTTAAGTTATTTTAAAGGTTTGAAAAGGTGAAATGGTGAGGATGGTCAAAAGTTTATTTATTTTTTATTATTTTTTTTATTAATTATTCTTTCATTATAAAACAACTTAAATTAATAGGTACCATTATACATGCAATGTTGAGCTCGTTTAGTAGGTGCTTGACTAGTAAATTTGAGTGGCCTGATCTTTTAAAGCATACCCTACTTTGTGCACCATCAGGTCCTTTTTCAAGTTCGCTCTGCGCTTGTACCATGGCCTCAGGTTTTTGGTTTGAATAATTCGAATATTTTCCAAATTAGATTTTGATGGAATGCCGAATAGCAGTCCATAATGCTATGAGGGAGCAATTACCGCTTTGTATATTAAAAGCTTGTTTCGTAGGGATAACTTGTTCCGACTATTAAGAAGCCGTCTTAGTTTCTTCAGCTTTGGCCTTTGTAATGGATACTGTGTGTGTTCGGAAGTTTAGCCGATTGTTTAAATAAGCCCCGTGGTACTTGTAACCTGCTACATAGGGCAGTTTTTGGCTTAGAAGAAATACCTCAGGACAGGATTGGGGACGGAGGGCTTTGGACACAGCATTTGGAGGGATCTGTTTTTCTTTTTAAGAATCGAAAAGTTTGTAGAAGTACGTTCATAAATCAAACATGGTTGGATAGAACTCAAATCAAATGTATTTCCCTGAGATTCAGAGAAGATCTATGTTATTTCAGCAAGTACAAAGGCAAGTACCGCGCAGTAGGCACCTTCATTACCAGGCAACCTCAACTGTTGATTTTGGATCCAGCTTTGGCCCATGAGATCCTGGTGGATAAGTTCAGTCACTTCCGGGACACGATTACCAGCAGTTTCGTGGGCCACAATCCGGATGACAAGTACGTGAGAAGATCCCCGTTCTTCACCACTGGCGAGGAGTGGAAGCGGCTGCGCACCGAAAATGGGGCAGGACTAACGCCCAACCGACTGAGGATGGCCTACAAAATTTGGGAGCAGAGTGGTCGTAGGCTAGTCGAATACATTGAACGGGCTAGGCAGGAGAAGGGCGACGTTATCGAGACCAGAGATGTGAGTACAAAATAATCAAAAAAAATAAAGACAAGGTTTTTTATTATTAGCTGGCCTATCGCTTCACGGCCACTACCATGGCCGACTTCATCTGGGGCATTGACGCCAACTCACTAAGTGGAAAAGTCGGAGAGGAGGCAGTGTTTCAGAAAACCTCCACAGACTGGACAGCGAGTGCTTTCAGCTCTATAATGAAGTTCAACAAGTCCCTGGTGGCACCGTTCCTGCGCAATTTTTTAGGAATGCGATTCTTTCTCAAGACTACGGATGAGTTCTTCCTACAGCTGACCCAGGACGCAGTGAAGCTGCGGCAAAGTGGCAGCGGCGAAGGCCGCTCGGATTACCTGTCCCACTTGATTCAGTTACAGCAACGCGGCAATACCATCCACGACTCTGTGGGCCATGCTCTCACGGTCCACCTGGACGGATACGAAACATCCGGAGCAGTGCTCTATCACATGTTATATTCGGTCAGTTAATTTCATTATATGCGGATCAGTGTAACCATTAATAGCGTATTGCTCTTATCAGCTCAGCGAGAACATTGAAGAGCAGGAAAAGCTGCGCTCGGAAATTTTAGAAGCCCTGGCCCTCAATGAGAGTATCAGCTACGAGCAGATTAATTCTCTGCCCTATCTGGACCAGTGCTTCAATGGTAAATGGCTCGAATTAGGAAACCCGGACTGGATTCGGAATATTTGAGAAACTTCTTTTATTTCAGAGTCTCTGCGCCTTGTCACACCTATCGGCTTCTTCATGCGAATCTGCACCAAGGACGTTCAGATAGATTTGGGAAACGGGAACTCCATCAACTTGGAGCCTGGCATCAGCGTAATGGTGCCCGCTTATCAGTACCATCACGATGATGCCTTCTACCCGGCAGCAAGCGAGTTCCGCCCCGAGAGGTTTGCGGATGGGGCCGCAAGTGTTTTCAATAAGCGTGGAATGTTCTTGCCCTTTGGCGATGGTCCTCGTATTTGCTTGGGTATGTTTCTTTTAATTATTATATCAATAAATTGTGTAGGCCACTAACAATATAAAATCCTAGGTATGCGTGTTGGACAACTCACTGTTAAAACCGCCATACTAAACATAATCTCAAACTACCTGGTGGAGCAGACGAAAAAGGTGCCCCTGGGCGCGGATACGGGAATGGGAATATTCCTCAATGGCGACGTAGAGCTGAAATATACGAAACTGGGAAATTAAATTTCGTCTCATATTTTCGGGAGTCCTCTTTACAGATATTGCTTTTGGAGGCAGGATGCTTTTGGGGTTTTCACTTTTTATATATGTATGTATGTATTTTAGCGCAACTGTAATTTGTATTTGAGCTCGTATGCACTATAGGAAATATGAACACTTTTTCTGGCCAAAAATAATATCTCAAGAACGAAACAAGATATTTAAGTTCTGATTTTTGATTTGAGTTCACATGGTCAATAGATTCAATATTTTAAAAAAATGTGGGCGTGGCACCGCCCACTTTTTAAGAAACACATTCTAACTCAAAAACTAAGCAAGATATTTAAATTTTGATTTTTGATTTGAGTTTATATGGTCAAAAAAACTCAGAAATGAAAAAATTGTGGGCGTGGCACCGCCCCCTATTTAAAAATAACATTCTAACTGTTCGGTTTTGCACTAGTCTCACAGCTAACAGATTCACATTCAAGGTGTTGAGGTTGCCTCCTTAAATTATGAATTTCTTCGAAAGTGCATTTTTATGCATATTCATATTTCACTCATTTGAAGAAAATTAAACAATCTACAACATGGACTAAATTACATTGTCCGACTCCGCCAGACTTGGTTTAAATCTCTTTTAAAAATGTGATTTATTTCTAAAAATTTCTTATGCTAGACTGCTTACATTTTCACTTTATTAAAAGGACAACACAAGTTTTTGGACACTTCACATACACAAACACACAATACAAACCACTTAAAAAGTATTCATTTCAAAACTTTTTATTTTGTCCATAAAATTTTAAGTATTCGTGTTTTTAAAATCGCATCAAAAAATCGTAAATTCTAAGCTCATGTAAATGTTAACATCAACAGCTGTTTGTAACAGCTGTTTTCTTCGCAGTGGCGCCATCTATGAAAATTTCTGGTATGCAACATTAAAAATTAATCTATTGTGAATGATATGCAGTTAAAATTATTTAAATCCTTTAACTTTCAAAAAATGGTTTTTGGCCAGAAAAAGTGGTCAAATTTCCTATAGTGGTATGTTTGTATGTATATTTGTACTCGTGTTGGCGAGTGCTTGGTGTTGCAAAAGCGCTGGACTTTTGGTGCAGCAGCGGCGAAATTTAATTTAGCGCAAACCGACCGCAGACCATCTGACACTCCCGCTTTCATCCGCCTACTTTTTGTTTCTATTCTTGGACTTATACACTCAAAAATGTTGTAATAATGTATAATATTTATAACATCCCTTAAATCTAACTTAAATTGCAAAAGTCTCAGAAACATATGTTGTTTAAGAACTCGTAGGAGTCCAAGTATTTAAATAAATAATGTGTATTTTATAATGGTCTACTGTATCACATTTTTAGGTTCATCGCTGATTCTTTAGCGTATGCACTTTCATATTGAGCGACCGCATGCAGCGGACGAAGGACGAACGATAAAAGACAACACCGATCCCGAGCCACAATGCCACCGCGTGTGCATGAGTATTGTGTTACAGGCACTGGCCCAGCTTTTCATTTTTTCCACCGTTATTTACATTGTTTTTTTTCCTGCAGCTTTTTGTTTTGCAACAAGCCACAAAATTTCATTTGAGCTTGCAATATGGCGCATTTAAATTTTGCTTCCGCCCCGCCAGCACCGCCTTGCTGCAAATGCATAAAGTTTGCTTGTCGAAGGGAAAAATATGTATTTCCCTGGGGATATGAAATTCGATGTTGCCCTCAATGGCGGCTCTGAACGTTTTATGTATTGGTCTAACCGAATTGCGAGCCAAAAATTAGAGCTGCTTACTGCCACCGCAAATATTTGGATTCTATTTGAATTTTGATACATTTGTCTGTGGCTTGGGAGCCAGGATCAAACAGTCGTAAAAAGTTAATGACTGGCGTAGGTAACGAAAAAGTAGAAATAAATAAGGGTGGCCTGGGGTGCGGAAAAT